TCGTATCGTTCTATTCTATAAGAACCTCAACGCCACTGCTTTTCACCCACTCACTCTGAGTGCAACGCAGTTGGTAAGTAAGCGCCCAATCCGTTTTGGTCACGAGCGATTGCATGCCGCCCCGCGATTATGGGATTAAACTGTTTAATGGTCCATTTGCGCCACTTTCAAGATCTTTTTTACAGCAGAATTCTTCACAGAATGAAATATGGGTGAACTATTACGGTTACTTTGGGCGTGATTTTCTAGTAATAAAGAGTTTGACTTCCGAAATTGCCTAAAAACACTATATAAAGCCAGCGATGATAATAAATCCATTCCGATTCAGGCACGCAAAGTTATAGATACTCTGCTAATTTCGCACAAGATATGGACCCTCGATGTCACAACTCCCACCTACCATTAGGAGCGCATATCATCATCATTCCTCCCTTTAACAACAACTACAAATCCAAAGCAATCGATGCAATGCAGTTCGCCCTGGTGGGGGCACTGAATGGTACTCATTCAAGCCTTTATAGGTCATCTTGTAAAAATCTGGGAATTTCTGTTACCAAAGTGGCCCACTCGTACCATTTCGCGGCTTCACAGGAGTCCACCTGTTATTTGAAAAGAACTAATAAAAATTGACTAGCGAAAGTGCGAAGTGGCCCTAAAAGCCTACGAAAATCATCGAGGACAAGAAATGCCCGCAACTGTATGATCGGCCAGAATCCATTTAGAAAATACACATTAATACAGGTCTATGTGTGCCAGCCACCAACTCGATCCCTAGTCCCGGCCAATTAACTAAAAAAACCCGTTTTCATCATTGCGCCCTTCCACTGACGTCAAGATGGAAGCATTTTATGCCGCGTGAAGTGGATCCTTAGTTCCTACTGATTGTAATAAATGTCTTCCGCACCTGCTGACGTTATTCAATGTTTGCCGACAGTCCACCCATACGGAGATAACGTGGTAACGCAAAGATCAGCACTAACACCACTTCAGTAGGAGTTCATCTTCTCTAAAGACATCCCGTACCGGTTCGCATGACCCGTTAGCGCTTGCCGGAGCCAAACACTGCTGAATCTAGCATTAATTACACTCTTCTGCACCCCCCCCCTTTCTGGAATTCAGGCATAATAGGAGTAAATTCTAAATATAAGTGTGATTTGTGTAATTAGAATATAATGTAAATAATATAGCGAAATATCATCTTCAATTTGACCCACTGAACGCGATTCACCCGCTTGGCGTGAAAACGCCTGGTCTCCTTGTTATAAGCGCCAATGCTTGTGGCTTGAAACCCACACATTTGCCCCACGATGTGGAATTTATGTTCAGCACGGAATCACCCCTGAGAACAAAACCGTAGC